TCCTCTGCCCTCAACCTGCACTGAAGACTCCCACTTCCCAGGGTGTGGCAGGATGAGCTTTGAGGCTGTCTTTAGCTTGGAGCCCGTCCTTGGGCAGGTGGGTGGAAGGAGAGGCTTGGCGGGGGGTGAGCTCCAGATTGAAGGCCTTGTGTGCCTGCCTCCTGGAAGAAGTTCCCTCCCTGTCCCACAGCAAGGACGTGAGCACAAACCGCAGTGGCAGGTGCACACATTGTCCTGGCAGGACTGAGATGGGGGCGGGCCTGGGCAGGAGCCAGGGGCCTGCCCTGTGACCTCTCCACCCACAGGGTGTGGGGTTGAGCTGCATAGAGGTGAGGCAAGTGCCTGAATGTCCTCAGCTAGGGCCCAGGACCCAGAATCAGCCATGGGGCAGGCAGCCAGGCTGTGCCCTGCCCTCCTCTGCTCAAAGTCACCAGCTCCTGGGCTATAGTCTGAGGTGGCCATGCCCACTACAGGACAGGGTGGAGCTGAGTGAATGGAGTCTGGGATAGCCCCTGGGGATTGGGCAGTTCTGCACCAAGGCTTCTGGCCAGAGGGACTGCTTTAATGGGGTGCACCTCAGGCCAGGACTGGCCTGTGTGTGGGAGTGGCATGGGCTGCCCCCTAGTGGTCCTGGTGGGTCTCAGCCTCAGTGCAGGATCACCAGGACTTGAGTATGAGACAGGGTCCTCCAGGAATGGCCCTGGCATTCCCTGGAGCCCATGACTCAGCAGGCAGGAACATTAAACAGAATGTACAGGCTAAGGGCTTCTTCCTCCCGAAGTTTTGGTTTGGGGTCAGACACTGGCCTGCCTGGGCCCTCTCTTGTCCCCACCTGGGGACACCCACCCGCCCCTCTCCTTCCTGGTTCACTCTTTGCCCTGTGGTGCCAGACATGGCGTAGACGCCTCACTTCTGTTCTCTGCCCACTGTCCCCCACCCCTGGAGCCCGCGGCCCTTGTGCATGGGATCCTTGTGCTGTGAGCCGCCCTCCTGGAGACTTCAGTCCAGGGGTTTCCCCTGTGCGTGGGCGTCCCCAGGGTTCCCCTTCAGGGAGCTGAGGCTGCTGGACAGTACCCAGACCACTTTGTCGCAGAGGGCAGCGTGCACCCCCGTCCGTGGGTGCGATCCTTATGGGTTGGGGCGCGGCTTCCTGGCCCATGCTGGGCGGGGCTTATGCAGGGGCAGGTTCTTCGGGTCTGGGCCTTGAGCCGGCGGGTGGGGGAGGACGTGGAGAGCTGAGAGCAGGGCTCGGTGCCGTCTCAGAAGGACGGAGGGCACGTGGGGCTCATGGCAGTGGCAGGGACGTGGGGGGCGGAGGGCGCCTTCGCCTCGCAGAGGGAGGTCGCGCTGGAACGGCCGTGCTGGCTGGACGAGGGCAGCGAGCGGGCCCGCAGGGGCTACCTCTACGGGCAGTTGTGCTGCGTAGGTGGGTGCGGCCGCTGGGGTGGGCGGGGGGCGGGACTGGCGTCCAGGCTGTCCAAGGTGGAGCTGGGATGGGGGTGGTACCTGGCCCAGGTGCAACCCCGCCTCTGAGCTCCGGAAACACCTGAGAAATAGGCAGGTGACATCCTCTTCCCGGGTAGGTTTGTCTCTGGAGGGGCGGGGTAGGTGGGCGGAGCACTGCTGCCTGGGGTTTTCCGGCGCCGGGCGTTGGCCAGAGGGGGGCGGGGGACGGGGGACGCGGGGACGGGACACGGAAGGCACCGAGGGCGGGGCTCCAGCCTCTTCCAGCTCAGGCTCTAGTTTGCCGCAGGGTTCCTTCCCAGTATGGCGGTGTCTATCCTGAGACTGTGTTAGCTGGCCTGTCTGCACGTCTGTGGAAAGTGGTCATTCCTCAGAGGGTTCCTTCCCTTGGGGGGGACCAGGCTGCTGCCTAGGGTCAGCTACCTCAGACAGGTGTGCAAGAGCACAGTGCTGGGGTTCCCTGGGGAGCCTCGGATATGGGGGAGAGCCTTCTGCAAATACGCAGAAGCACCTGGGGAACGGGGATGACCATATTGGGGACAGAAGTTGCCTGTTGGTTTGAGTCTGAGGGGAGGGGGCATCTCTAAGCTGGAGGAAGGGGCAGGCAGGACTGGGAGGGAGGGGATAAAGGGAGTTGGGGCTTTTGAGACCTTGGAAGGTGCTTGAAGGAAGGAGGCACCCAGAGGCAGCGGCTGAACGGCTTCTAGGGTGGAGGGGTGCTGGAACTGGCTCAGGGAGGTGCCCCCCCCACTCCCCCCACCCCCGCCCCGGCCCTGAGCTCCAGGTCCTGCCCAGGGCAGCATCTTTGGAGGCTGGTAGTGACAGAAGATTGGAGAAGGGGCTTGACCGGAGTGTGGAGTGGGGCTCCCATTTGTCCAGTGCCAGGCCTGGCTCCCCCAAGTCCCAGTGTTGCCCAGGATGTCCTGTGTCCACTTCCTGGCCCATTACCAGGAATGTGTGTTGGCGTAGTCTGTCCTCTGCAGTGGTGGCCACTCCTGCAGCAGGACCCTGTTCTGTTTCTGCATGCCTGGACTTAGCAGGATGGGCTTCCTGGCTGGGAGGGCTGCTGGCCTGGTCCTCTGGAGAGGCAGCCAGCACTGTCACAGGCCTCCAACCTGGAGAAGGGCAAAGCTCAGGCACACTGTACTCAGGGTACTGACAGTGTGGGCTCCTGTTTGGGATTTTGGAGAGTGAGGATTGATGTCTGATGGGCCAGATGGGGAAGGGTCTTGTGTTGGAGATTGAGGGGTACCCTCAAGTAAGGGGCAGGGGTAAAGACACTAAACAGAACCCTGGGAGCTGGCTGTGCCCCTCTGCTTGGGGGTTGGGCCTTAAAGTCCTCTGCCTGGTTCTAGCACCCCTTTCCCCTCCACACAGGGGTTTGTCTCCCTCTCGTGGCCACAGGGGGCAGCAGGGACCTGGGTGGGGTGAGCTTTTCTGGGAACAGAAGGCCAGAGGTGCTGTAGGAAGAGGGTGTTCTTCAGCCACTCACAGCTGGATTGCATCAAGCCAGATGCACAGATTGGAAAATTCTTGTGGTCTGGGTGGTTCATTCTTTCCTACAGTGGTTGGGTGGGCTGGGCAGTCCCAGATGCTGCCATTGGCCGCCCATCTGCTGATCTGAGGGAGCCAGAGGCCCTGAGCAGGCAGGTCCAGTCAAGGGGACCCTTGCACCCTTTGCCCCCACCCTCCACCTTTACAACCTGGAGCAGCTGCTAACTGCAAGCCCCACCCGGCTACAAACAGCCCCATCCTACCCCTACCCCAAGGTGCGGCTTCCTTTCCAGTGAGTCACAGCAATCCGGGGACCCCCCTCCCTAGCCCTGACTCACTGGTTGTGCCCTTTGGGGGTGCTCTCTGTTGCTCCAGCACCCCCCGAAGTGGGGAGGTGGCTCTGCAGCTCGGGTGGGGTGGTCCTGTTAGGATGAGTCAGGACTCAGCTATGAGTGGCTTTAGCCGGAGGTATGCCTTGCCTGCTCTGCCTGAGGTGTTTCGGGCTTGGGCGGGGCTCTGCAGAACTCCTGGGGATTCTGCCAGAGTCTAGCTGGCCTTGAGCAGGGTCTTAGATCCCAGCAAGCCGGGCGTGGGGACCATGGTGCAGGACTTGGGATGTGACTTGGGGGGGGGTGCAGGAAATTGACAGGTAGCTGGTCCCCCACCCACCCAGGTATCGCACAAGTTAGGGGTTTCTTCTAGTCATTCCCAGCAGGGAGCAAGCTGAAGGGGTGGCCCTGAGTGGCCCTGGACTAAGGTCTGAGGGCGCATTCCCTGGAGATAGGTGTGATCTTGGAGCTGGCCCCTAGCTACATTCAGGTGCCCCTTGGTGTGATGGGAGGGGCCTCTCCCCTCCTCGTGTGATAGGGATTCTTCTGAATGGCCACACCACATGGAGTGTGTTCCTTGGCGGTCCTGGTACCAGTGCTGGGTTGTCCCTGCTCCCCCCTCAGGCGCCCCACCCCCCCCAGGTTCTACTGCTGTAGGCAGGGTGGGTGAGGAAACCCTAGTTTCCTGTTTCTGGCCGGCTATGGGAGCGGCTGTGGGGGAGGGGCTGCCTCCTCCTTCCCGCTGGGACACTCCCCTCTGGTGGGGAGGCGGGCAGGGTGGGGTGGGGCTCCCAGGCAGGCCGGCCTTCCTAGGGAGTACAGCAAGCAGGGAGTGGCTGCAGGGACTCCAGCTCTGAGCTTGTGCGGTTGAGTGTCCAGTGCGGCCGCCATCCTTCGGCAGTGTGGCACACGGTGCTGCTCTTACAGAGCACAACACCTGAGGGCCAAGGGACAGGCGGGGGGGCGGGCAGCACCATGTCTCAGCACCGGCTCCGTGTTCCTGAGCCTTCGGGCCTGGGCGGCAAGAGAACCAGCTCGGAGGACAACCTCTACCTGGCTGTGCTCAGGGCTTCTGAGGGCAAGAAAGGTAGCCAGCACCCACTCTGGGCAGGGCCTCTACAACAGGAAAGGCCCTTCCTGTGGCAGGAAGCCTTGGCATTGGGTGGGGGTGGGGCCCAGGCTCTGAGGGTCTGGGTTTGGGTCTGAGCTACCCATGTCCAGCACCGATTGGGCTCTGAGCCTTTAGCTGGTGAAGTCTGTGCACCCAGGGAAGGCCTGCTGCCCTTTCAGGGGGACACAGCTTCCCCTCTGGCACCCCTTATTGGCCCTGGCCCTGCCATATTCCACCTCAGCCTGGGAGGCAGCATGTGGAATGGAGCAGGCTGTGACTTGTGCACCATGGGCTCTGGGTGTGGTAGCTCTAGACCCTCCCATCTACTTGGGAGACAATAGAGGTTTTGAAACAGCAACACTTTGCTGGGCCTAGCCCCTTCCTTGGACCAGGCCTGGCTGAGGCCTGAGTGCCTTGGTCTCTGCTGTGTGGGTGGAGATGAGGCTGGGGGGCCTAGGTCTCTATGACCTGGGAGAGGCCCTAGTCTGGGATCCTCCTCCATGGGGTCTGGCCAGCCAGGCTGCTCTTTGCACAGTGGTCACCTCTGGGGGCCTTCCTGGGCTTCTCCCAGGCTCCAAGCAAACTGGCCTTGTCTCCCTCAGATGAGCGGGACCGTGTGCAGAAGAAAACCTTCACCAAGTGGGTCAACAAGCACCTCATCAAGGTTGGTTACGTCTACCGCGAATGGGGGGAGGGGATGCCTACAGCGAATGTTGGGGGGTGAGCGCTCGCCTGCCCCTGCCTGGGTATCCTCACACTGCCCAGGCTTCTCTTTCATCTCTGAAACCTGTTATTTTCTGTCCTTTCCTCCCACGCTCCGTCCTGTCTTCTTTCTCCTTCTTCCTTCTGGTCTCTCCTGGTCTCTGCTGTAGCACTGGAGGGCAGAGGTAGGTGCCTGCGTGCGGCAGGGGTGTGCTCCATGCCCCTGCGTCTTCCCCCCGGGGCCAGTGCCCAGCGCTTGGCGCTGCCCCCCTGCCCCAGTCTGCTGGTGGCTGTGGGGAATCTGGCCATCCTAGCCGCCACTGTTCCCACAGGCCCAGCGACACATCAGTGACCTGTATGAGGACCTCCGCGATGGCCACAACCTCATCTCACTGCTGGAGGTCCTCTCGGGGGACAGTCTGGTATGTGTGTCCCTGCCATCCTCTGTGGCTCTGCCTGCTGCCCTGCATGCCTTGTCTCCTTGGGGCCTTTTCCAACTGCCCACTGTGTGTCCAGCTCGGCCCCTTCCTGCCTTCTGTCTGGGAGCAGCCCGGCCTCAGCAACCCCCTGCCCTCTGCACTTGTGCTTACCTTACCAGTCAAAGGCCTGGCCTGTGAGTGGCCATGACCCCTGGGCCACAGGCTGCTCTGACCTTTGCTGTCCTCTGCATTGGAGCCCTAACACAGTAATCTCATGCTCTGCTCTGCTTTGGTTTCTCTGCTGCTTGGACTCTGAATCTTGACCTCTGCCCTTTACCCTTTGCCCTGCTCTGGCTGGGCAGCCGAGGGAGCGGGACGTAATCAGGAGCTTGCGCCTGGTGAGTGGTTGTGCCTACTGGCCGTGGTGGCACATGGGCTCCCCAAGACCAGGAGCCTACCCATTTCACCTGGGGCTGGTGGCCAAGTGAACCCGGTCCACGTCTAGCTCTTGGGTGGGCAGATGGCTATGTGTCAAGTGGCCTGCTGTCCTACCTGATCTTTCCCTCGGCCTGCACCTAGAACCCACCAGAAGCTACAGTGGCCACCACCACCGGGCCGGAGGACCCGCCCCCTCCTAAGCCACTGCCCTCCACCCTCGGCTTCCTGGCTATTGTCTCCTTCCCACCCCCTTCCTTCCTTCCCACAGCCTGGATTGCTGGGTTTCCAAACTTCTGCTGGGTCTGGGCCTGGGCCTGACCCCTGGGCTGGTGGCTTCCCTTTCTCAGCCAGGCAGGGTGAACCTGGGATGCAGGAGGGGGCTGCCAACCCTACTGGGAAAGACTCGGCTCAGTCAAGCTCAGTCAACTGCTGCTATTTTAGGGGTTACTGAGGGATGGGGTCTGGGAGCTATAGCTGCCCTGTAGGCTTTGACCATACCGTGTCTCCTCCCAGCCCCGGGAGAAGGGGAGGATGCGCTTCCACAAGCTGCAGAATGTCCAGATTGCCCTGGACTACCTCCGGCACCGCCAGGTAAGGCTGCCCACCCAGCCATAGGCCAAAGACCCCAGGGCCCACTTTAAGCTGCTGCCCTGTGGGCCATGACTGAGAGCCACTTGTTCATAGGTGAAGTTGGTGAATATCAGGAATGATGACATTGCAGACGGCAACCCCAAGCTGACCCTCGGTCTGATCTGGACCATCATCTTACACTTCCAGGTAGACTAGCTGTCCCTCAGGAGTCTTCAGTTGGGCTCCTCGGCTGGCAGGCTGGCTCTGATTTCTGGCTGGGGTGTGGCCTGGGAGGTGTTGCCCTTGGAATGGTAATACCTGGGAGCCTTCTTGCCAGCCCCAGCTCCAGCCCCAGCTCCAGCCCCATTTTGGCTTGGTAGCCTAAGGGCCCAGGCCTCTTTCCAAGGCCTGCCTAGCCCATGCCCTCTGGCCCCAGCTGGGCAGGGCCTGCAGAACCTCCTTGCAGAGGAATGCATTCTCTGCAGGCTATCTGAGGAAGCTTCTGGAGCTATAGGGCTGCACTGGCTGACTCACCCATTGCCTGTGCTGGCCACACAGGAAGCCACAAATCTGAGATCGGGGCGCGAAAGCCAGGCTGGCACAGCAGCTGAGTCACACAAACTGGCAGACCAACAGACAGCTAGGGAGAGGCTGGCAGATGTACTGAAGGCAGGCAAGCTGGCAGACCCAGGCCTGAGACTGGACAAAGTGCCAGGCTGCCAGGCAGACACACCATGCCCACCCTCCCAAATCCCCACCTGGGCCTGCAACCAGACAGGAGCCTTGACTTGCTCCTGTACCCCATCCTGACAGCCTTTTTTAGGCCTGGGAGCGCTGGACCAACTTTGGGTGTGCATCTGCCCTTCTTGTTCCCATTGTCTACCAACTGTACTCTGTGGCAGTCTCTGGGGGCACAGGATACACCCCAGACCACCCAAGCAAAGGGAAGCCCAGTACATCTACCATGTGGTGGCAGTAGGGGGCTGGAGGAGTTGACTTATTCTGTGGCTGGAGTGGCCTGGATTTGTGGCACTGAGGTGTGGGTCCCAGTAGCTCTCCAGCACTGGGTACTCTACTGTACTCCGGCTGGCCTAGTGACCTGTTGATCCTAGCTGGTGCTAAGCTAACCTGCCCTCATGCACGTGGTCGGGGTGCAGGGAAAGTGTATGACCAGGCAGGCAAGGTGGCCAGGGCTGAGCTATTTCCTGTCCACTGCGTGGGGGCAGATCTCAGACATCCAGGTAACCGGGCAGTCAGAGGACATGACAGCCAAGGAGAAGCTGCTACTGTGGTCACAGCGCATGGTAGAGGGCTACCAGGGCCTACGTTGCGACAACTTCACCACCAGCTGGCGTGACGGCCGCCTCTTCAATGCTATCATCCACCGGCACAAGTACGTGTGTGGCCTCAGGCAGGGAGGGGACCACTGGTCGGGGGCACCTCAACCACCTCAGCCAGGCGACTTCAAACAAGTCAGGGCAGAGAGGATGGCAGGAGGGGTGTCTGCCACTGACAGGAATCTGGCGCCCACAGAGTTGAGAGCTAGCCAGCCTCTGGGAGGTGCAGGAAGCAGGACCCACCTCCTAGTCCTTTCAGAAACTTCTGGAGGCCTGTGGGGCAGTGGGCTGCTGGTCTTGCCTGTGTGGATTCTTCAGAAGGGGCCGGATGGGCAGGTGCTGGTGGCTCACACCCGTAATCTGGCTACTTGGGAGGCTGATCGCATTTTGAGATCAGCCTAGGCAAAAAGTTACTGAGCATCCCATCCTAACCTGTAGCTGGGTGTAGTGGTGTACACCTGTCATCCCTGGCTACGTGGGAGGCTGAGATTGGGAGGATCGTGATTCCAGGCCAGCTTGGGCAAAACAGTTCACGAGACCCCACCTAAGTGGAAAAAAGTTGGGTGTGCAGCATATGCCTGTTATCCCAGAAATGGCAGGAGGGGTAATAGAATGGTGGTTCATGCCGGGCTGGGCAAAGAACAAAACCCTATCTCTAAAATAACCCGAGCAAAAAGGGCTGGAGGTGTGTCTTGAGCATGAGAGTGCCTGCCTCACAACTCCAGTACTACCATAAAAAAAAAAAAGAAGGAGCCTGCCGGGCAGGGAGGCTAAGGGAGCCTTTCCATATACAGTTCCTGGGCCCATCTCGGGCCCCTGGGGCTCCTGGGGGGTGGGGCAGCAGGGTTCTTTCAGCTCTGCCCACATGGGCAGGATTGGGGGCATTAGTGGAGCAGGTGGTTTATCTTTCAGGGTGGGTGTGGGATTGGGACTGTGTTTGCCAGGACGTGTGGAAGTTTTTCTGTGTGGTGATCTACTCAGTGGGCCTCACTGCCCCTTGTCTGGCCTGTCCTCCCCACCCACTTGTCTGCAGGCCCATGCTTATTGATATGAATAAGGTGTATCGTCAGACCAACCTGGAAAATCTGGACCAGGCCTTCTCTGTGGCAGAGCGGGACCTGGGAGTGACCCGGCTCTTGGACCCTGAGGGTATGAGCTGCTGGCCCCTCTTCCTCTCTCTCCCCCAACCCTGCACAGGCTCCACTGACCCATTCCCCTTCCTGCAGATGTGGACGTCCCTCAGCCCGACGAGAAGTCCATCATCACCTACGTCTCGTCCTTGTACGATGCCATGCCCCGAGTGCCCGGCGCGCAGGATGGGGTGAGGGCCAATGTGAGTGGTGGCCCAGGGAGGGTGGGAGGCTGACCTCAGCCTGGCTGCAGCCCCTGACGCCTGCCGCATGCTCACTCTGTGCTCACAGGAGCTGCAGCTTCGCTGGCAGGAATACCGCGAGCTCTTGCTCCTGCTGCTGCAATGGATCCGGCATCACACTGCTGCCTTTGAGGAGCGCAAATTCCCCTCCAGCTTTGAGGAGATTGAGGTGGGCCAGTCAGCAGAGGTGGGCCTGCCTGCTCAGGCAGGGTCTTGGGCCTGCCCTGCCATGGTTTCTGACATCCTTTGTCCTCACAGATCCTCTGGTGCCAGTTCTTGAAGTTTAAGGAGACAGAGCTTCCAGCCAAGGAGGCAGACAAGAACAGGTCCAAGGGTATCTACCAGTCTCTGGAGGTGAGTGGGGAGCCCATGGGGAGGCTTATGGGGTGTTTGGGAGCGAGAAAATGTCCCCTGGGGAGGTGAGTGAGGCATGCCAAGCTCCAGAGCCTGGTGCTCCTCCAGAGAGTAGCTGGGCCCTGCCTACTGAGCTTCAGGGACCAGGGCTCTTCCAGGTGGGTGGGCAGGAGGATTGAGGGCCCAGGACTCCTAGCCTCCACAGCTTAGGCCTCAGACTGGTTTCTGATCACAGAGCGCGGTGCAAGCAGGCCAGCTCAAGGTGCCCCCCGGCTACCACCCACTAGATGTGGAGAAGGAGTGGGGCAAGCTGCACGTGGCTATCCTGGAGCGGGAGAAGCAGCTCCGGAGCGAGTTCGAGAGGTGGGTGGGGTGGAGAGGCTGCGGCTGGGCGGGTGGGGCCCATGGTAGCAGGGCAGCCACCCGAGGGTGAGTCACTGCCTGGGGAGGAAATTCCCCCCGCAAGCTGGGGAACCCGAGCTCCCGAGCTCAGGGCCAGCAGGACAGTGGGCCCCAGGCAGGCTGGGAGGCATGAGCAGAGAGGAGCCGCTCTCTGGTATGGCAGTGTGGCGGACCTAGCTGCTCACCTTGGCTCTCCTGGGTGCCCTGGGCTGTAGGCTGGAGTGTCTTCAGCGCATCGTGAGCAAATTGCAGATGGAGGCTGGGCTGTGTGAAGAGCAGCTGAACCAGGCTGACACCCTGCTGCAGTCGGTGAGGGGGAGGGGCAGGGAGGAGGGGCAAGGGGGCGGGACTGCCCTCCTCAGACGAGGGGAGGGGGTAGGAGGAGCCCTGGGCAGCCTGCCCGGCATCCAGGGGGTGGCCTGCTGGGCCAGCGAGTGGGGTGGGCACTGGGGCGTGGAAACCAGGCTTCAGTACCTCCCTTTGGGTGTAGAGCCAACTCTGGCCTACTGCTGTGGGCCGAGCTAGTTTCTGGGCATGAGGTGGACTCTAAGTGTCCACCCTACCTCCTTCCAGGCTGGCCCCCTCCACCTCAGCTGCTCACTCCTGGGGGACAGGGTAATGGGGAGGTCCCAGACCTCTTGCTAGCCGATTGCTGTGGGGTCCAGAAGGCATGGGGCTTTGTGGACCTGGGCCAGAGCTTATAGAGGGGAAAACTTAGCAAGTGGGATGGTGGAGAATAGGCACAGGGATCCCAAAGGAAACAGTTGTGAAGAGTCTGTCTTTGGGCCTAGCAGGATTCCCTTGAACTGGATCTGATCCCCAGAGGTACAGACTTACACAGGCGCATTGCCAGGGATGTGTGGGGCTGGCAGAGAGGGAAGGAAAAGGATGGCGGTGCTGAGGCAGTAAACCAGCTGAGATCTGGGTCTCAGGCTGGGCTGCCCTACGTGGTAAGAGGAAGAGGGTCGGCTGGGCTCTGAGTCACACATGACCACCTTGCAGGATATCCGGTTGCTGGCCTCAGGCAAGGTTCCGCAGCGGGCTGGGGAGGTGGAGCGAGACCTGGACAAGGCAGATGGCATGATCCGGGTGCTGTTTAATGATGTACAGACCCTCAAGGATGGGCGCCACCCGCAGGGCGAGCAGATGTACCGCAGGTGGGGCCTACCTGTGTGCCTTCTTGGGCAGCCTGGGTATGGGAGCCTGAGGCTGTCTGACCTCTTAACTGACTTCTCTGTGCTGCCCCAGGGTGTACCGACTGCACGAGCGCCTGGTAGCCATTCGCACAGAGTACAACCTCCGTCTGAAGGCGGGTGTGGCTGCCCCCGTGACCCAGGTGACCCTGCAAAGCATGCAGAGGCGCCCTGAGCTAGAGGACTCTACCCTACGCTACCTGCAGGACCTGCTGGCCTGGGTAGAGGAGAACCAGCGCCGTGTGGACAGTGCCGAATGGGGCGTGGACTTGCCCAGTGTGGAGGCGCAGCTGGGCAGCCACAGAGGCCTGCACCAGTCCATCGAAGAGTTCCGGGCCAAGATCGAGCGGGCACGGAGTGATGAGGTGGGCAGCACCCACGGGTGGGCAGTGGGTAGTGGGCCAGACCCCAGCCACTGCAGGTCTTAGCCCTCCTCATCTCTTTCAGGGCCAGCTCTCTCCTGCCACCCGGGGTGCCTACCGTGACTGCTTAGGCCGACTGGACCTACAATATGCAAAGCTGCTGGTAAGTGTGGGTTCCGGCAGGGACTAGGGGGAGGTGGGTGTACAGCAGTCCACTGACCTGCTCCCTGCGTGCCCACAGAACTCCTCCAAGGCCCGCCTGCGGGCCCTGGAGAACCTGCACAGTTTTGTGGCAGCTGCCACCAAGGAACTGATGTGGCTGAACGAGAAGGAGGAGGAGGAGGTGGGCTTTGACTGGAGTGACCGCAACGCCAACATGGCTGCCAAGAAGGAGAGCTACTCGGTGAGGCAGCCCAGCCTTCCAGAAGCCTCCCGTGACCACTGCCCCTGATCTTCCCACCTGTGTCCACGCCGTTGCCCACTGCTGGAACCTCCTCACGTAGCTGGTCAGGTCCAGCCCCAGGCTCCATGGAGACTGGCACAGGACTTAGGTTCCATTTGCCAGCTGTCCCTGAGACTCTCCGTCCCTACCTCAGGCCCTGATGCGGGAGCTGGAGCTGAAGGAAAAGAAAATCAAGGAAATCCAGAACACCGGGGATCGGCTCCTGCGGGACGATCACCCTGCCCGGCCCACAGTGGAGGTGAGGGTGTGGCTCAGGGCTGCGGGAAGTCACTGTGAGCCTCAGTGGGGGTGGGGCTGCGGGGCTTCTGGAGGAGCATTGAGGGTCCACTGGTGGGGTGGGCATGGAATCTGAGGACATTGCTGTCCTGCAGTCCTTCCAGGCGGCCCTGCAGACCCAGTGGAGCTGGATGCTGCAGCTGTGTTGCTGCATCGAGGCACACCTGAAGGAGAACACCGCGTACTTCCAGGTGAGAACTGGAGCCTCCCTCTGCCCTGCAGCTCAGTGGCAGTGAGCCACACTGAAGGAGCCTCCGAGAGCCAACCCTCCAAGGCTGTCCCCTCCAACTAGTTGCTTCCGGCAACCACCAGAATGCTCCCTGGTTCTCTTGGGTTATTCCGTCACCTCTTGTCTCAAGCCTGGTCTCTTCAGACTGCATTGGTGCAGCTCACCTGGGGCTTGGGACCCAGCCAGCCCCATGTGACCCCTCTTGCTGTCCTAGTTCTTTTCAGATGTGCGGGAGGCTGAAGAGCAGTTGCAGAAACTGCAGGAGACATTGCGCAGGAAGTACACCTGTGACCGCTCCATCACTGTTACCCGACTTGAGGACCTGCTGCAGGATGCCCAGGTGAGGCAGAGACAGACATGTTGCCTGGAATGTGAGCTGCACTAGTGCTTGGGTGTGAGGTGGTGGGCCTACGTGGGCTGGAGAGACACAGTGGTGGTGGGGATGCAGCAAAAGGACAAGCTGGTACTGGTGTGAGCCCCAGCCCTAGAGCCAAGTCAGCTGGGGTCACTAGCCCTTTAGTCATGAGTGGATACTGGCTTTTTGGCTTGAGGTTCAGAGAAGGCAGTGTCTGTAGGGCTATAGAAGACTGAGTGGCAGCTGGAAGTAGTACCCACATCCCCTGGGACAGAGTTGGGGGCACCAGGGGGACTACAGTGTCTGAGAGGGAGTGGTAGAGGGACGGGGAGAGGAAGCTGGTTCTACAGTTAGCAAAGAGAGGGCAAGAGAGGTGCATGTCCTCTGGGGTGGAGTCTAACTTGCAGCTTTGGACAGTCCTTGGTGAAATTTGACCCACTCAGAGGGGTTGGACAGGAGGAGACAGATGGCCTTCTGTAGCTAGAAGGGAAGGGAGGAGGGGCAAGGACACTGCAGGAACCATAATGTGACTAGGTCCTACCCCCTTCCCTGGAGGATGTAGTGGGTGACCTGGATTTGAGGAGCGCTCAGTGGAGGCGGCGGTGGGATCTGCTCAGGGCTGAGCCCTGCTGTGTGTCCTAGCCCTAACGTCTTTGATCTTCAGGCACCTCCACCCTCAGCATTTGGAAGGATCCCAGACCTGTGTCAGGAGTTCCTTCTGCTTGCTGGGCCAGATGGCTGTGTGTCTGGAGCTGAACGTGTTAACCTGAGCCGCCTTTCCCCACAGGATGAGAAGGAGCAGCTGAATGAGCACAAGGGACACCTCTCAGGCTTGGCCAAGCGGGCCAAGGCCATCGTGCAGCTGAAGCCCCGCAATCCGGCCTATCCTGTACGGGGCCACGTGCACCTGCTAGCTGTGTGTGACTACAAGCAGGTGGAGGTGAGGAGACCAGGAAGTGCTTGAGTAGAAGGCAGCTGGGTAGGCACATAGGCATGGCCACATTGTCACCACCTCTGGCTGTCTCAGGTTACCGTGCACAAGGGTGACCAGTGCCAGCTGATGGGCCCTGCACAGCCATCCCACTGGAAGGTGCTCAGCAACTCTGGCAGTGAGGCTGCCGTGCCTTCCGTGTGCTTCCTTGTGCCCCCGCCCAACCAGGAGGCCCAGGAGGCCATCACCAGGTGGGTGGCCTGGGGGGTGTCTGTGGCTGGAGGGTTGGGGTGGACAGTTGGAGGAAGATCCATGGACAGTAGGCAGAGCCCCTGACTGTGCCCCTGACCTGCCAGACTGGAGGCCCAGCACCAGGCCTTGCTTGCACTGTGGCATCAGCTGCATGTGGACATGAAGAGCCTTCTGGCATGGCAGAGCTTCAGCCGTGATGTGCAGCTCATCCGCTCCTGGTCCTTGGTCACGGTAGGACTGCGCACTGGCCACGGGCACTGGGGAGGAGGGGAGGTGATGTCCGTGCGCGCCAGCTGGCCTGGCCCCACATTAAGCTCCATGTGCTGCCCCCCAGTTTCGCACGCTGAAGCCGGAGGAGCAGCGTCAAGCCCTGCGCAGCCTGGAGCTGCACTACCAGGCTTTCCTGCGAGACAGCCAGGACGCAGGCGGCTTCGGGCCGGAGGACCGGCTGGCAGCAGAGCGCGAGTACAGCTCCTGCAGCCGCCATTACCAGCAGCTGCTGCAGAGCCTAGAGCAAGGTACGTCACGGACGGTATGGGTGGGTGGGTAAGGCAGGTGGTGGGCGAGCAGCTGAGTAACCAGGACGTGCCCCCAGGTGAACAGGAGGAGTCTCGCTGTCAGCGCTGCATCTCTGAGCTCAAGGACATCCGGTTGCAGCTGGAAGCCTGTGAGACTCGTACGGTGCACCGTCTGCGGCTGCCGCTGGACAAAGAGCCTGCAAAGGAGTGTGCCCAGCGCATCGCTGAGCAGCAGGCAGGCGACATCCCCATTCCCATCTCGCTCCCTCTCCCACCCCCACTCCTACCCTCTTGGCCTTCAAAGGGTTCTGTGTGTTGGATTCTAGTGGTCAGTGTCCCCCTACTCTGTCTCTTCCCTAGAAAGCGCAGGCCGAGGTGGAGGGGCTGGGCAAGGGGGTTGCCCGGCTCTCTGCCGAGGCCGAGAAGGTTCTGGCCCTGCCTGAACCGTCACCTGCTGCCCCCACTCTGCGCTCTGAGCTGGAACTGACCCTGGGCAAGCTGGAGCAGGTCCGCAGCCTGTCTGCCATCTACCTGGAGAAGTGAGTGCCCTGTGCAGGCTGAGGGGCTGGATGGATCCAGCTATGTAAGGGCTGGGATCTTGGGTATGTTCTGAGCAGAGGATGGCTGAGGGTATAGGATAAAGATTGAATTGGAGGCTGTTGAGTGATCTGGCCAAGAGATAATGGGCTTGGACCAGCACGGCAGCTGTGGAGGTGGTGAGAGGAGTTCAGGCCCTGACCTGTTTTGAAGACGGCACCCACGGGGCCTCTGGATGATGGGATTTTGGGGTGTGGGGGAGAGGGGAAGTGTAAGGGAGATGTAAGATGCTGCTGACTGGGGTGGGAGACTGGGAGTCAGGACCTGGCAGGCAGCCCAGTGAGGAACGAGGGAAAAGGATAGGTTGAAGCAAAGGGTGGGCCAAGTTGTGGAGAGAAGAGAGCAAAATGGGGGAAGGACCAAGGAGGAGCCTGGCTCCCAGTGTACAGAGGTCAGGAGGGGGAGGAGCATCTGAAAGAGCTGGCCAGAGGTCAATAGGTTCAGAGGAGGGACCTGCCACATTGAGAGCATTGGTGACATCGGGAAGGAGGCATGATAAAGATCTGGGAGGAGCCATGAGGCGGAAGCAGTGTTGGGGGCGAAAGCAGCAAGAGGCTTGCCAGGCCTCCTAACTCCCCTCGCCCCAGGTTCCTCCTTGCCTGAGCCCCTAGCGTAACATGAGGGTCACACAGGGCCTCTCTGCCCCTTCTTTGCTGTTTATTTCAGTGTATTTTAATTCAGAAGCCTCTTAAGGAATCTCCCTCCATCCCTGTTCAGCAATCCTGACTCCAGGATTTATAAATGCTGGCATTTATTTCTAGCATTTATTGTACATCAACCCTCTCTCCAGCCTTTATTCACAAACGCTGACACACTGTTTGAGAGGCATATCACTGTCACTACATGGTGTCACTTGCATCTGGGGTCTCCTCCTGAGATGGAAGGTTGAGAACTACATTCTAGGTGGTGTCACCTGCCCCAGGGCCTTGGAGTCAGCTTGCTTCTTGCTGGAGAATCTTTCCTCTAGGTTGTAGGGCTGGAGCTTCAGTGTCCCTGTGCTGACAGGTCCCCAACCACCTCCTCCCTAAGTCTGTTCTTCTTGAAGCCTGTGACCACAAGGGTCAGCTTAGAGCTCTGGTCAGGTTTTGTCTGGGATGGGCAGGGGACACCTAGGCTCCTTGGGACTCCAGTTCCACGACCTAGAGCTTGCTGCTTGAGCCCACTCGTGCCCTGGCTCAGAGCCCCACTCTCCCCCCAGACTGAAGACCATCAGTCTGGTGATCCGCAGCACTCATGGTGCCGAGGAGGTGCTCAGGGCTCACGAGGAGCAGCTCAAGGATGCCCAGGCTGTGCCTGCCACCCTCCCAGAACTTGAGGCCACCAAGGCCTCACTAAAGGTACCATGATGGGGCTTTTGCCTTTTTGGTGAAAGGCAGCCAGGGCTGGGGGTGTATGTGTGTGTGTGAAGGGACGGTAGGGACCCTGTCCTAAATGGTACCTGCCATGCTGTGCTCAACAGAAGCTGCGGGCCCAGGCAGAGGCACAGCAGCCCATATTCGACACCCTGAGGGATGAGCTGCGGGGGGCACAGGAGGTAGGCGAGAGGCTGCAGCAACGGCACGGCGAGCGCGACGTGGAGGTGGAGCGCTGGCGAGAGCGGGTCACCCAACTGCTGGAGCGCTGGCAGGCCGTTTTGGCTCAGGCTGATGTGCGGCACCGTGAGCTCGAGCAGTTGGGCCGCCAGCTGCGTTACTACCGTGAAAGCGCGGACCCGCTGAGCATCTGGCTGCAGGACGCCAAGCAGCGGCAGGAGCAGATCCAGGCTGTGCCGATGGCCAACAGCCAGGACGCGCGGGAGCAACTGCGGCAGGAGAAGGTGTGGGCCGGGGGCAGGCAGGGCTGGCAGCAGGGTGTGTGCGCCCTGTGGCCATCTGTGGTGACATCCCTCCCCTCTCAGGCCCTGTTGGAGGAGATCGAGCGCTACGGCGAGAAGGTTGAGGAGTGCCAGAAGTTCGCAAAACAGTACATCAATGCCATCAAGGTGAGACCTCCCCGCTGCCTGCACCAGGACCTGCGCCCCAGCCATACTTGCTGGGCTAGGAGGGGCCAGGGATTCTGGGGGTGACCACAGCCTGGTCCATGTCAGGGAAAGCCTGTGGAGGGGATGGAGGGACTGAGAGGGAAGAGCTGGCAGCTGACTACAGTGTATTCTCACAGGACTACGAGCTGCAGCTAGTCACTTACAAGGCACAGCTTGAACCAGTGGCCTCCCCGGCCAAGAAGCCCAAGGTCCAGTCTGGGTCGGAGAGCGTCATCCAGGAGGTGAGATGGGGGCAGCTGAGCCTCACTTGGGCAAGGGGTTGTGTGGGTTCTCTGCGGGGCTGACCAGCTTCCCCTCTCCCCCAGTACGTGGACCTGCGTACACGCTATAGCGAGCTGACCACGCTCACGAGTCAGTACATCAAATTCATCAGCGAGACTCTGCGACGCATGGAGGAGGAGGAGGTACGGCCTGGGTGGTATGGACTGGGCGGGGGGAGGTCCTCTTACCCCACCCCCATGCAGCCCCTAGAAACCTGCCTGAGATCACTTTCTGCAGCTCACTCCCCTCCTGCCTGGTGCCGCCCAGTGCCCCCTCCGCAGAGCACGGCTGCCCAGGCTGCTCTCACCTGTGGTCCCACCTTGGCCTAGCACTGCGCTGCATTCCCCATGGTGGCTGGTGCCTCCTCTCCTGTTGGGGATTGTTCCCATCTGCATCTCTCTGGCTCTCGTAGGCGTTCTTCCTAGGGATTCTGCGTTGGTTCCACTCTGCCCTTTTGATCCGGGAAGATTTGAGGGTGTTAGGTCGTGAGGGCTGGGAAGGGGCAACCCAAGGTGCCTCGGCTGGGCAGTGTGCCACCTGTCAAGTTCCTCCCCATCTCCCAGGTGGACTTGCTCTTGGGCCTGCCTGCAGTCCTGCCTCTTCTCTGCTCAGGTCTGCCAGCTTTAGAGCCCCTTTTCTGAGCTGGCTTGGGTCTGCATTGCTGTCCCCACTCTGGCTGCCTCACTCTGCCCCCTTCTGCTGGGCTTTGAGAATGGCTGTCTGTTGAGGAGAGGGACCCTGTTGGTAGGAGCCAGGCCAGCCAGGGTCTGGAAGAGCTCAGGCAGGACTGTGCGGTGGGCACGGTCTGCAGGCCCTGCGAGCCTCCTGCTTTGCTTTCTCTTTCTCTCTCCCTGTCCATCTGTCTCCGTCTCCTGTCTGCGGGAAGAGGGGAGGACGCCTGGGCCTCCTTCCCCAGGCTGGTGAGCATGGTGGGGCTGGCTGCGCTCGCTGCCCGAGTGCCCTGGGCGGGTGCACGCTGTCTCCTTGGCTGGGTTGGGAAGTCCGTCCTCCCTGATCCCCTGCACTGCACTGTCCAAGTGAACTGTGGTGGTACCGTGTCATGTGAGTGTCTGGCGCCCACCCCACGCTCACGCTCTCTATGGTTCTCTTCTCTCTGCCACGGCCACAGAGGCTGGCCGAGCAGCAGCGGGCAGAGGAGCGGGAGCGACTGGCAGCAGTGGAGGCCGCACTAGAGAAGCAGCGGCAGCTGGCTGAGGCTCATGCCCAGGCCAAGGCTCAGGCAGAGCTGGAGGCACAGGAGCTACAGCGGCGTATGCAGGAGGAGGTGGCCCGTCGGGAGGAAGCAGCGGTGGATGCGCAGCAGCAGAAACGCAGCATCCAGGAGGAGCTGCAGCACCTGCGGCAGAGCTCGGAGGCGGAGATCCAGGCCAAGGCTCAGCAAGCGGAGGCTGCTGAGCGCAGCCGGCTGCGCATCGAGGAGGAGATCCGCGTGGTGCGGCTGCAGCTGGAAGCCACCGAGCGTCAGCGTGGTGGGGCCGAGGGCGAGCTGCAGGCTCTGCGCGCACGGGCGGAAGAGGCCGAGGCACAGAAGCGGCAGGCGCAGGAGGAGGCCGAGCGCTTGCGGAGGCAGGTGCAGGATGAGAGCCAGCGTAAGCGGCAAGCAGAGGCTGAGTTGGCCTCCCGCGTGAAGGCTGAGGCCGAGGCGGCTCGTGAGAAGCAGCGGGCCCTGCAGGCACTGGAGGAGCTGAGGCTCCAGGCCGAGGAGGCAGAGCGGCGGCTGCGGCAGGCTGAGGCAGAGCGGGCTCGCCAAGTGCAGGTGGCCATGGAGACGGCACAGCGCAGCGCGGAGGTGGAGCTGCAGAGCAAGCGTGCCTCCTTCGCGGAGAAGACCGCGCAGCTGGAGCGCACCCTGCAGGAGGAGCACGTGACGGTGGCACAGCTGCGGGAGGAGGCCGAGCGGCGGGCGCAGCAGCAGGCGGAGGCTGAGCGTGCCCGTGAGGAGGCCGAGCGGGAGCTGGAGCGCTGGCAGCTGAAGGCCAACGAGGCCCTGCGGCTGAGGCTGCAGGCGGAGGAGGTGGCACAGCAGAAGAGCCTGGCCCAGGCTGAGGCTGAGAAGCAGAAGGAGGAGGCAGAGCGCGAGGCACGGCGGCGGGGCAAGGCTGAGGAGCAGGCCGTGCGGCAGCGGGAGTTGGCCGAGCAGGAGCTGGAAAAGCAGCGACAGCTGGCCGAGGGCACCGCGCAGCAGCGCCTGGTTGCCGAGCAGGAGCTAATCCGCCTGCGGGCTGAGACGGAGCAGGGTGAGCAGCAGCGGCAGCTGCTGGAGGAGGAGCTGGCCCGGCTGCAGCGCGAAGCCACCGCGGCCACGCAGAAGCGCCAGGAACTGGAGGCCGAGCTGGCCAAGGTGCGGGCAGAAATGGAGGTGCTACTGGCCAGCAAGGCTCGAGCAGAGGAAGAGTCTCGCTCCACCAGCGAGAAGTCCAAGCAGAGGCTGGAGGCCGAGGCAGGCCGGTTCCGTGAGCTGGCCGAGGAGGCCGCCCGCCTGCGTGCCCTGGCTGAGGAGGCCAAACGGCAGCGGCAGCTGGCAGAGGAAGATGCAGCTCGCCAGCGGGCCGAGGCCGAGCGCGTGCTCACCGAGAAGCTGGCTGCCATCAGCGAAGCCACACGGCTTAAGACGGAGGCCGAGATTGCCCTCAAAGAGAAGGAGGCAGAGAATGAACGCCTGCGGCGGCTGGCAGAAGACGAGGCCTTTCAGCGGCGGAGGCTGGAGGAGCAGGCAGCGCAGCACAAGGCCGATATCGAGGAGCGCTTGGCCCAGCTGCGCAAGGCCTCGGAGAGCGAGCTGGAGCGGCAGAAGGGGCTGGTGGAGGACACGCTGCGGCAGCGACGGCAGGTCGAGGAGGAGATCCTGGCGCTGAAGGTTAGCTTCGAGAAGGCAACCGCCGGCAAGGCGGAGCTGGAGCTGGAGCTGGGGCGCATCCGCAGCAACGCGGAGGACACGCTGCGCAGCAAGGAGCAGGCCGAGCTGGAGGCCGCGCGCCAGCGGCAGCTGGCCGCCGAAGAGGAGCAGAGGCGCCGGGAGGCCGAGGAGCGGGTGCAGAAGAGCCTGGCGGCCGAGGAGGAGGCCGGCCGGCAGCGCAAGGCCGCCCTGGAGGAAGTGGAGCGGCTCAAGGCCAAGGTGGAGGAGGCCCGGCGCCTGCGGGAGCGGGCGGAACAGGAGTCTGCCCGGCAGCTGCAGCTGGCCCAGGAGGCTGCCCAGAAGCGCCTGCAGGCGGAGGAGAAGGCTCACGCTTTCGCGGTGCAGCAGCGGGAGCAGGAGCTGCAGCAGACCCTGCAGCAGGAGCAGAGCGTGCTCCAGCGGCTGCGCGGTGAGGCAGAGGCGGCCCGGCGAGCCGCCGAGGAGGCTGAAGAGGCCCGGGAGCAGGCCGAGCGTGAGGCCGCACAGTCCCGGCGGCAGGTGGAGGAAGCTGAGCGGCTGAAGCAGTCGGCGGAGGAGCAGGCACAGGCCCAGGCTCAGGCTCAGGCTGCCGCGGAGAAGCTGCGCAAGGAAGCCGAGCAGGAGGCAGCGCGGCGGGCGCAGGCAGAGCAGGCGGCGCTGCGGCAGAAGCAGGCAGCCGACGCGGAGATGGAGAAGCACAAGAAGTTCGCTGAGCAGACGCTGCGGCAGAAGGCTCAGGTGGAGCAGGAGCTCACGACGCTGAAGCTGCAGCTGGAGGAGACCGACCACCAGAAGAGCATCTTGGACGAGGAGCTGCAGCGGCTAAAGGCCGAGGTGACAGAGGCAGCCCGCCAGCGCAGCCAGGTGGAGGAGGAGCTCTTCTCCGTGCGCGTGCAGATGGAGGAGCTGGGCAAACTCAAGGCACGCATCGAAGCCGAGAATCGTGCGCTCATTCTGCGCGACAAGGACAACACGCAGCGCTTCCTGGAGGAGGAGGCAGAGAAGATGAAGCAGGTGGCTGAGGAGGCCGCCCGGCTGAGTGTGGCTGCCCAGGAGGCGGCCCGGCTCCGGCAGCTGGCGGAGGAGGACTTGGCACAGCAGAGAGCTCTGGCCGAGAAGATGCTCAAGGAGAAGATGCAGGCAGTGCAGGAGGCCACGCGGCTCAAGGCAGAGGCAGAGCTGCTGCAGCAGCAAAAGGAGCTCGCCCAAGAGCAGGCCCGGCGGCTGCAGGAGGACAAGGAGCAAATGGCACAGCAGTTGGAGCAGGAGACTCAGGGTTTCCAGCGGACACTGGAGGCAGAGCGGCAGCGGCAGCTGGAGATGAGCGCAGAGGCTGAGCGCCTCAAGCTGCGCATGGCTGAGATGAGCCGGGCTCAGGCCCGGGCTGAGGAGGACGCCCAGCGCTTCCGGAAACAGGCCGAGGAGATCGGGGAGAAACTGCACCTCACCGAGCTCGCCACGCAGGAGAAGGTGACGCTGGTGCAGACTCTGGAGATCCAGCGTCAGCAGAGCGACCACGATGCCGAGCGCCTGCGGGAGGCCATTGCTGAGCTGGAGCGTGAGAAGGAGAAGCTCAAGCAGGAGGCCAAGTTGCTCCAGCTCAAGTCCGAGGAGGTACCTCTCTCCCTCCTCGCAGGCGGGCAGGCCCGGGTTGGGGGGTTCTTCCCGTGGGTGGGGTGGCAGGCAGGGCACTTCTGGGGCGCTGACTTCCCTGAGACGTGCTGTAATCCCCTCCGCAGATGCAGACGGTGCAACAGGAGCAGATGCTGCAGGAGACGCAGGCCCTGCAGCAAAGCTTCCTCTCTGAGAAGGACAGCCTGCTGCAGCGGGAACGCTTCATTGAGCAGGAGAAGGCCAAGCTGGAGCAGCTTTTCCAGGACGAGGTGGCCAAGGCGCAGCAGCTGCGTGAGGAGCAGCGGCGGCAACAGCAGCAGATGGAACAGGAGAAGCAGCAGCTGGTGGCCAGCATGGAGGAGGCCCGGCGGCAGCAGCGTGAGGCGGAGGAGGGGGTGCGGCGCAAGCAAGAAGAGCTACAGCGCCTGGAGCAGCAGCGGCAGCAGCAGGAGAAACTACTAGCCGAGGAGAACCAGAGGCTGCGAGAGCGGCTTCAGCGCCTGGAGGAGGAGCACCGGGTTGCACTGGCACATTCGGAAGAGATTGCTGCCTCGCAGGCTGCCGCCACCAAGGCCCTGCCCAATGGCCGGGATGCACTCGACGGTCCAGCTGTGGAGGTGGAGCCCGAGCACACCTTCGAGGGCTTGCGGCATAGGGTTCCAGCCCAGCAGCTCCAGGAGGCTGGCATCCTGAGCACGGAGGAGCTGCAGCGGCTGGCGCAGGGCCACACCACGGTTGCTGAGCTCACGCAGCGGGAGGATGTGCACCGATACCTGCAGGGCTGCAGCAGCATCGCCGGGCTGCTGCTGAAGCCCACCAACGAGAAGCTGAGTGTCTACACAGCCCTGCAGAGGCAGCTGCTGAGCCCCGGCACGGCTCTCATCCTGCTCGAGGCCCAGGCAGCCTCGGGCTTTCTGCTGGACCCTGTGCGGAACCGGAGGCTGACAGTGAACGAGGCTGTGAAGGAGGGTGTCGTGGGCCCTGAGCTGCACCACAAACTCCTGTCGGCCGAGCGTGCCGTCACCGGCTACAAGGACCCCTACTCCGGGGAGCAGATCTCCCTCTTCCAGGCCATGCAGAAGGACCTGCTCGTCAGAGACCACGGCATCCGCCTGCTGGAGGCCCAGATCGCCACGGGCGGCATCATCGATCCAGTACACAGTCACCGTGTGCCCTTGGACGTGGCCTACCAGCGTGGCTACTTTGACGAGGAGATGAACCGCGTCCTGGCCGACCCCAGCGACGACACCAAGGGCTTCTTCGACCCCAACACCCACGAGAACCTGACGTACGTGCAGCTGCTGGAGCGCTGCGTGGAGGACCCCGAGACGGGCCTGCGCCTCCTGCCGCTCACTGATAAGGCTGCCAAGGGTGGCGAGCTGGTTTACACAGACTCAGAGGCCCGGGACGTCTTTGAGAAGGCCACCGTATCCGCACCCTTTGGCAAGTTCCAGGGCAAGACGGTGACCATCTGGGAGATCATCAACTCGGAGTACTTCACGGCAGAGCAGCGGCGGGACCTGCTGCGGCAGTTCCGCACGGGCCGCATCACAGTAGAGAAGATTATCAAGATTGTCATCACCGTGGTGGAGGAGCACGAGCAGAAGAGCCAGCTCTGCTTCGAGGGCCTGCGCACCCTGGTGCCCGCAGCTGAGCTGCTGGACAGTGGGATCATTGACCGCAACCTCTACCAGCAGCTGCAGCGAGGCGAGCGCTCGGTGCGAGAGGTGGCTGAGGTGGACACAGTGAGGCGGGCCCTGCGGGGAGCCAACGTCATCGCGGGAGTGTGGCTGGAAGAGGCGGGGCAGAGACTGAGCATCTATGAGGCCTTGAAGAAAGACCTGTTGCAGCCAGATGTGGCTGTGGCCCTGCTGGAGGCCCAGGCCAGCACCGGGCACATCATTGACCCCACCACTAGTGCCCGGCTGACTGTTGATGAGGCAGTGCGTGCTGGCCTGGTGGGCCCTGAGCTGCATGAGAAACTGCTGTCAGCTGAAAAGGCTGTGACGGGATACAGGGACCCCTACTCAGGGCAGAGTGTCTCCCTGTTCCAGGCCCTGAAGAAGGGCCTCATCCCCCGAGAGCAGGGCCTGCGCCTGCTGGACGCCCAGCTGTCCACAGGTGGCATCATAGATCCCAGCAAGAGCCATCGTGTGCCCCTAGATGTTGCCTATGCCCGGGGCTACCTGGATGAGGAGACCAGCAGGGCCCTGTCCGCACCTAGGGACGATGCTAGGGTTTATCTCGACCCCAGCACACAGGAACCAGTCACTTACAGCCAGCTCCAGCAGCGATGCCGGCCTGACCAGCTGACCGGGCTCAGTCTTCTGCCGGTCTCAGAAAAGGTCGCCCGGGCCCGGCAGGAGGAGGTCTACTCAGAGCTCCAGGCCCGTGAGAACTTCGAGAAGGCCACAGTCGAGGTCCCTGTGGGCAGCTTCAAGGGCCGGGCAGTGACCGTGTGGGAGCTCATCAGCTCTGAGTACTTCACAGAGGAACAGCGGCAGGAGCTGCTCAGGCAGTTCCGCACGGGCAAGGTCACTGTGGAGAAAGTCATCAAAATCCTCATCACCATTGTTGAGGAGGTGGAGACCCAGCGGCAGGAGCGGCTGTCCTTCAGTGGCCTCCGTGCCCCCGTGCCGGCCAGTGAGCTCCTGGCTGCTGGGGTCCTCAGCAGAACCCAGTTTGAGCAGCTCAAGGATGGCAGGACTTCAGTCAAGGACCTGTCAGAGGTGAGCTCTGTGCGGACGCTGCTGCAGGGCAGTGGCTGCCTGGCTGGCATCTACCTGGAGGACTCCAAGGAGAAGGTGACCATTTATGAGGCCATGCGCCGGGGCCTGCTCAGACCCAGCACGGCCACACTCCTGCTGGAGGCCCAGGCGGCCACTGGTTTTCTGGTGGACCCTGTGCGTAACCAGCGTCTGTATGTCCATGAGGCTGTGAAGGCAGGAGTTGTGGGCCCTGAGCTACATGAGAAACTTCTGTCAGCAGAGAAAGCTGTCACCGGCTACAAGGACCCCTACTCGGGCACCACCATCTCACTCTTCCAGGCCATGAAGAAAGGCCTGGTCCTCAGGGACCATGCCATCCGCCTGCTGGAGGCCCAGATTGCCACGGGCGGCATCATCGATCCAGTACACAGTCACCGCCTGCCCGTGGATGTGGCCTACCAGCGTGGCTACTTCGATGAAGAAATGAACCGTGTCCTGGCCGACCCCAGCGACGACACCAAGGGCTTCTTCGACCCCAACACCCACGAGAACCTGACGTACCTGCAGCTGCTGGAGCGCTGCGTGGAGGACCCCGAGACCGGCCTGCGCCTCCTGCCCCTAAAAGGGGCGGAGAAGGCAGAGGTGATGGAGACCACGCAGGTGTATACTGAAGAGGAGACTCGGAGGGCCTTCCAGGAAACGCAGATTGACATCCCTGGAGGCGGCAGCCACGGTGGCTCTACCATGTCCTTGTGGGAGGTGATGCAGTCGGACCTGATCCCTGAGGACCAGCGGGCCCGGCTGATGGCTGACTTCCAGGCTGGCCGGGTGACCAAGGAGCGTATGATTATCATCATCATCGAGATCATCGAGAAGACCGAGATCATCCGCCAGCAGAACCTGTCGTCCTACGACTATGTGCGCCGTCGTCTGACGGCTGAGGACCTGTACGAGGCTCGGATCATCTCCCTGGAGACCTACAACCTGCTCCGGGAGGGCACCAAGAACCTCCGCGAGGTCCTGGAGGCAGAGTCTGCCTGGCGCTACCTCTATGGCACGGGCTCGGTGGCTGGCGTCTACCTGCCCGGCTCCAGGCAGACCCTGACCATCTACCAGGCCCTCAAGAAGGGGCTGCTGAGTGTCGAGGTGGCCCGCTTGCTGCTTGAGGCACAGGCGGCCACAGGCTTCCTGCTGGACCCGGTGAAGGGTGAGAGACTGACTGTGGACGAGGCCGTGCGGAAGGGCCTAGTGGGCCCAGAGCTGCATGATCGCTTGCTCTCCGCGGAGCGGGCTGTTACTGGCTACCGTGACCCCTACACCGAGCAGACCATCTCGCTCTTCCAAGCCATGAAGAAGGAGCTGATCCCTGCTGAGGAGGCCCTGCGGCTGCTGGATGCCCAGCTGGCCACAGGAGGCATCGTGGATCCCCGCCTGGGCTTCCATCTCCCTCTCGAGGTCGCTTACCAACGTGGCTACCTCAACAAGGACACGTACGACCAGCTGTCGGAGCCCAGTGAGGTACGCAGCTACACGGACCCCTCCAGCGATGAGCGCCTCAGCTACACCCAGCTGCTCAAGCGGTGCCGCCGGGATGAGGGCAGTGGCCAGATGCTCCTGCCGCTCTCAGACGCACGCAAGCTGACCTTCCGCGGCCTTCGCAAGCAGATCACCGTGGAGGAGCTGGTGCGCTCTCAGGTCATGGACGAGGCCACAGCGCTGCAGCTGCAGGAGGGCCTGACCTCTATCGAGGAGGTCACCAAGAGCCTGCAGAAGTTCCTGGAGGGCACCAGCTGCATCGCTGGCGTCTTTGTCGATGCCACCAAGGAGCGGCTCTCCGTGTACCAGGCCATGAAAAAAGGTATCATCCGCCCCGGCACGGCCTTCGAGCTCTTGGAGGCACAGGCGGCCACCGGCTACGTCATCGACCCCATTAAGGGACTCAAGCTGACTGTGGAGGAGGCCGTGCGTATGGGCATCGTGGGCCCCGAGTTCAAGGACAAGCTGCTGTCAGCCGAGCGGGCTGTCACTGGCTACAAGGACCCCTACTCCGGGAAGCTCATCTCCCTCTTCCAAGCCATGAAGAAGGGCCTGATTCTGAAGGACCACGGCATCCGCCTGCTGGAGGCCCAGATCGCCACGGGCGGCATCATTGACCCCGAGGAGAGCCACCGGCTGCCCGTGGAGGTAGCCTACAAGCGTGGCCTCTTTGACGAGGAGATGAACGAGATCCTGACCGACCCCTCGGATGACACCAAGGGCTTCTTCGACCCCAACACAGAGGAGAACCTCACCTACTTGCAGCTGATGGAGCGCTGCATCACTGACCCCCAGACCGGCCTGTGCCTCTTGCCGCTGAAGGAGAGGAAGCGGGAACGGAAGACCTCCTCCAAGTCCTCAGTACGCAAGCGCCGTGTGGTGATTGTGGACCCTGAGACGGGCAAGGAGATGTCGGTGTACGAGGCCTATCGCAAGGGCCTCATCGACCACCAGACGTACCTGGAACTGTCCGAGCAGGAGTGCGAGTGGGAGGAGATCACCATCTCCTCCTCGGACGGCGTGGTCAAATCCATGATCATCGACCGCCGCTCAGGCCGCCAGTACGACATTGACGACGCCATCTCTAAGAACCTCATCGACCGCTCGGCCCTGGACCAGTACCGTGCTGGCACACTCTCCATCACCGAGTTTGCCGACATGCTCTCCGGCAACGCTGGCGGCTTCCGCTCCCGCTCCTCCTCCGTGGGCTCATCTTCCTCCTACCCCATCAGCCCCGCCGTCTCCAGGACCACGCTGACCTCCTGGTCTGACCCCACCGAGGAGACAGGCCCGGTGGCCGGCATCCTGGACACTGAGACACTGGAGAAGGTGTCCATTACGGAGGCCATGCACCGCAACCTGGTGGACAACATCACCGGGCAGCGGCTACTGGAGGCGCAGGCCTGCACCGGGGGCATCATCGACCCCAGCACTGGCGAGCGCTTCCCGGTCACTGAGGCTGTCAACAAGGGCCTGGTGGACAAGATCATGGTGGACCGCATCAACCTGGCCCAGAAGGCCTTCTGTGGCTTCGAGGACCCGCGCACCAAGACCAAGATGTCGGCCGCCCAGGCTCTGAAGAAGGGTTGGCTGTACTACGAGGCGGGCCAGCGCTTCCTGGAGGTGCAGTACCTGACGGGTGGCCTGATTGAGCCCGACACGCCAGGCCGCGTGCCCCTTCGACGAGGCCCTTCAGCGTGGCACAGTGGATGCCCGCACAGCCCAGAAGCTGCGTGATGTCAGCGCCTACTCCAAGTACCTCACCTGCCCCAAGACCAAGCTCAAGATCTCCTATAAGGACGCTCTAGACCGCAGCATGGTGGAGGAGGGCACGGGGCTGCGGCTGCTGGAGGCCGCTGCCCAGTCCAGCAAGGGCTACTACAGCCCCTACAGCGTCAGCGGCTCCGGCTCCACCGCAGGCTCACGCACTGGCTCGCGCACCGGCTCCCGGGCCGGCTCCCGCCGTGGCAGCTTTGATGCCACTGGCTCCGGCTTCTCCATGACCTTCTCTTCCTCCTCCTACTCTTCCTCGGGCTACGGCCGCCGCTATGCCTCAGGGACCTCGAGCTCCCTAGGTGGCCCTGAGTCTGCAGTGGCCTGACCCCCTGCCTGTACCCTGCCTTCCCGCTCTGCATGTGGCCAGGCTCCCTGCCGAGGCACTGGGGTCTTTCTTTAACACGTAAAGGTGTCTTCCTCCCAAGTGGTGCCTAAAGTTTAACCAAAAAGACCAGACTAACATATACACATATATATATAATATGTATATTATATATATATATATAAATACACATGCTGTCCAGACAGCCTGTGTCTTGGGGGATGGGGCTGGTCCAGCTCCACTGACCATCTCACCCCCCTCGGGTCTCCCCACTCCCTTCTACCTGCCACTCACCGTAGCCAGGTGCCTTGGAGGGCCCAGAGCTGGCTCCCAGCCCACCCCTCCTGTCTTCCCTGGAAGGGTTCTGTCTGTGCAGGGCCCCTAGTCCTGTAAACTGACCCCACTGGAGGACACCCACCTGCCAGTCCTTGCTGCTGAGGTGAGCTGGGGTCAGGACCTCGGTCCTCTCAGGGTTTTCACCCTGGGCTAGCGTCTTCTCCCCAGCTTGTTTCCCGGACTGGCTTGCTTGCTCAGTGGGTCTTGCTGGCAAGGGAAGGGTCCCAGGTCGACCATCTCTCTTAACCTGCCCAGAGAAGCTGCTTCTCCATGGGAAGATAGGGTCCAGACTGCAGAGGCAGCAGCCTGGGCTTGGCTCAGCCCCTTGCCCAGCTCCTGCAGCTGCTGTCGGAGCTCTGCTTCGTAGCTCACTGCCCGGTCCCGACACGCCCTCTCCCAAGACCCCAGCCTCTGGCTTCAGCCTTCAGCCTTCAGCCTCAGCTCTCCTTGTAAGTGCCTTCTGTGTTCTCCCTCGTACCCAGGCCCCGAGGATCCAGAGCCAGAGTGGGAGATAGACGTTCTGGCTGGGCAGTGCTGGGGGGTGGTCTTGGGTCCTGCAGATCTGTCCTCCCCCATGAGCCCAAATGACACCTCAAGCCTGGGTGCTGCCTGCCCACCTTGCTTCCAGGGAGCCCCCAGCCTCTCTGTGGCCCAGGGATGCTGGCTAGCCTGCCTGTGTTGATGCAGGCACCTAGCCACCCTCCTCCTGTCCAGCCACCCCCCGGCCTTGGTAGCTCCCATCCCTGACTCCACCCTCTGAGCAAGCTTTGCATGTTCCACTAACCTGGGCTGGCGGCAAGTGGAGGTGCCAGGCAGAACACTAACCTGACCATGGGCGGGGCCTCGTGGCGTCTGCCCCCAAATAAAAGCAATTCCAACCTTCCCGTGGTTCTTGCCTTGTTCTTTGGTTCTCGGTCAGGCCGTGTGTTGGTGGTAGGGTGGAAGCTGCAGCAACCCAGGCTCTGAGCTCAGCCACTGTGTCCTGGCCAGGAGAGAGGCATGGGGTCCACTGTGAAGACACTGGTCTGAGGCTGAAGGTCCACAGGCATAAAAACCTGTGTGGTGGCTAGAGAGCAGCTAACAACCCTGGGCAGAGGTACGGTGGATGGCAGGGTAGACCACACTGAGGCTGGCCAGCAGGGGCCTGCTGCCCATCTAGGTGATGACAAATCACCCAGCCCACCCCTTATGATAGATGGGTATGTGGTTGATACTTGAGGTTCTTCCTTAGGTGGGTGCTTACACACTCCCATGTTGACCATTGGCTGTGCCCCCTCAGGTCCTGCTGCTTTCCTCGTGAAGGTCATTAGGTCCTGGACTGCTGGTCCAGCCTTCGGTCAGCATCCATATTTTAACATGGTGTTTGCTATGTGCTAGAATTTAAGGACAATTGCAAGCAATCCCTTTGCTGGCTGCAGAGCTCCGTGCTATGAGCCATCTGTCCCCGTGGGCCACGCCCTTCTGGCTGCCTTTTTGACCTTGCTGTCCTTTTCCTCTCTGCTGCATGGCAGCACATTTTAACACAGCCAGGACCAACAGTAGCTACCTGCTTACAGAGGTGGGCTCCCTATTGCCCATCAGACAATGGGTTCTGACTCTAGTCCTCTCTAGGGAGCGTATTCAGCAGGATGACACCAGAGAGATCCCACCCATCTCAGACCAGATCCCCAGAGGCAGAGTCTGAGATGGCCATCAGGGGAGCATCTCTGGAGGGGTGGTATGGGATGGGGCGAGGAGCTGGCCATGATGGGTCCTCCGCTGGAGTCTAGCCAAAGCTGGGCCTCAGAGACTGTCATGGCAGACAGGGTCTGGGCTGATTGTCCCCACATTGGCCAGCCAGTGGTCATACACTGCCTCGGGGGCAGGACAAGTAGCTCCCAGTTGTCCGGATGAGGCTGCTCTTGCCAGCCACGGCAGTCATCTGGAGAAGGGAGAAGCAAGTGTCCAGCAGCTGGGGGTGGGCATGCTAAGCCCCATCTCCAGAGAGGGGCAAGACCTAGTGGGACCCAAGAGGGTTGTCCAACAGCAGCTGCTTCCAACATGACAGTTTTACAGGGGTGGACATTCTGAGCACCCCCCACCACAGGTCTAGATAGACACCTTCTCAGAAACCCACCTCCAGTCACCAAGAAGAGGAAGACGTCAGTGCCGAAAATGAAGCAGAATTTGAATGTGGTAACTGACACCTGGTTTGAACAGATTCTCGGAAGCAGTGAATGAGGACGTGGGTCTGGACAGTGTGGAGTCCACGTCATCAAGGGGCTGCACTCTTGCGGCGACTAGAAACCCCCAACCACTGGCACATGGTCACGGAAAGGAAGTGCCCTGGATTCTGACTGGGCTCTGCTTCCCCTGGGTGTTTGTAATCACAGGTAGGGTGAGTGTGGCCAGGGGGGCGCACATTCTGTACAGGGGACGAGTTAGAACACCCACTGCTGACTGGTAGTAAGAGGCTCACTCTGGAGGCTTCTCCAACAGGCTTGGAGAACCCCACACAAGGCAATTGAGTCCAGCTGGGCGCCAGTGACTCACGTCTGTAATCCTAGCGACTCAGGAGGCAGAGATCAGCAGGATCTCGGTTTGAAGCCAGCCTGGACAAATAGTTCGAGAGACCCTATCTCGAAAAACACACATCTCAAAAAAGGGCTGGTGGAGTGGCTTAAGGTGTAGGCTTGGAGTTCAAGCCCCAGTCCCGCAGGAAAAAAAGAGAAATTAAGTCCACTTGGTCCTGGATGGTTTTGGCACGGTACCTGACATGAACCATTGTAATTGTATCTGGAGGTTTTCCTCCCAACCCAGGTTTAACAGGATTCTCAGAGATAAAAACCCCTGCTTTCAGACATCATTTCACAATCCCAAATTATAACACATGTGAAAGCAAGCATCCCGAACAATTTAGAATAAAACAAAGCAGACGAACCTGAAAGACTTAAGATACTGGAATTATTAAACGAAGAGTACAGTTAATGTGTTTGAAATATTTGAGACAGAAGAGAAAACTTAACGTGGTGAGAAGTAAGATTCTATCCAAAAAGGATCAAGAAGATTTGAAGGAATTCGATAGAATTTGTAGAAATGAAACATGCAATAACATTTAAAACTCGGTGGTGGTGGTGGGGAGGGGGGAGAATTGACCCAAACATTGCATGCACATATGAATAAAAAAAAACAAAACAAAACTCAGTGGTGCCAGGTGCAGTGGTGCTGGCCTATAAATCCTTGCACTCGGGATGCTGAGGCAGGAAGATTGGGAGTCCCAGCCAGCCTGGGTATCCCATCTCAAAACGAAAACAACTAACAAGCCTTAATGTCCTGGTTAAACAGCAGGTACCCAGCCATCATGGAACAATTAGTAACTTAGAGGCTAGGTCTGAAGAAACTACTCAGAATTCATCACAGAGATACAGAGACAGGGAAGAGAGTTACGATGATGGTATACAACAACACAGTCCAACCTGGTCCGGTTGGATTTCCAGTGGAAGATCCTGCAGGAAATCAGGACAGGTTCTCTTGGAAGAAGTTTTAGCTGATAATTTTCCATATAGATGAAAAGCATAATAAACAAGCACAATAAACTCCAAATAACATCTGCATCAAAACTATTGTAGCAAAATTACAGGAAGTCAAAGGCAATTTTTTTTTTTTTTTGGTGGTACTGGGGTTTGAACTCAGCTGTGCTTGGTAGGCAGAGGCTCTACTCTTGCCCCTTTTTACTTTTATTTATTTATTTTTCCAATAGAGTTTTGTTTTGCTTTTTTTTTTTTTTTTCAGTGCTGGGGACCGAACTCAGGGCCTTGCACTTGACAGGCAAGCGCTCTTCCACTGAGCTAAATCCCCAACCCCTCCAATAGGGTTTTGTATTTTTGCTCTTGGGACCAGTCTGGACTGTGATCCTCCTGTGTATGCCTCTTGCATAGCTGGAATGACAGGCGTGAACCACCAAGCCCAGACTTTTTGTTGAGATGTGGTCTCACTTTTTGCCTGGAATTGGCCTTGAACTATGATCCCCCCAATCTCCACCTCCCAAGTAGTTGAGATTATAGACATGAGCCACTGCACCTGGCCAAAGAACAAAATCTTAACACAAATAGGAAAACATTATCTACTAAAAGCAACAGTGGGACTAGCAGAAGACAACTCAAGGCAAACTTGGGAGCTTCTTACAGTTGTTGCATAGATCAGGAGCCCAGCCACTACCTGGAACCTTTTGACCGACTCTCAAGGCCCATCAGACTTGCTGAATCAGAATCTACAGTTTAATGAGATCCCATATATTTTTTTAACAAACTTTTAATTTTAAGATCACTTACAGGTCCAAATAGATGTTTCTTCAAAGAAGACAAATGGCCAATAAGCACACAAATAGGTATAATTCTTAATTTTTTTGTGTGCTGGAGGCTGAACCCCAGCTTCACATTAGCTAAGAACACACTCTACCATTGAGCTATCCACCCCCCAGCCCAGATAGAATTTTTTGTTAAATGCCTGATTTAGTCTGTTCCTGCTACTATAACAAAAATACCACAGACTGGATAATTCATAAACAATATGAATTCATTTTTTACAATTTTGGAGGCTGAGAAGTCCCAGAGCAAGGTGCTGGCAGGTTTGGTGTCTGGTGAGGGCTCCCTTAGTCAATAGTGTCTTTTCTCTCCTGGCAGCGTCCTCACGCAGAGGGTGAACCGTTTCCTCGCATGGTAGGAGCGGAGGGCAGATGGGGTCTAGCTAGTTCCCTTCAACCTTTTTGTAAGGTCACCAAGCCCATTCTTCACCTCCCCAAGGCCCCAGCTCCTACCACTGTTGCATTGGGAAGTGAGTTTCAACGTGAATTTTGGCAGACATTAACCATCAAGAAAGCTCAAAGCAGAAACACAATGACACACCACTAGGATGGTATTCTCAGAAATACAGATACCACGTGATATTAGAGAGGATGCTGGTGGAACTGTAAAATGGTGAAGTCGCTTTGCAAAACAATCAGTTCCTCAAATAGTTAAACATAGAGCCCCCACAGGACTCAGTGGCACCACTGCTAGATGCATGAACCCAAGACACACAGGATTGTCCATAGTATACCAAATGCATTCAACCAATGACTAGACAAGTAACATGTGGTACAGCCATACAGTGAAATATTATCCAGCCCTACAAAGCAAGGAGATTCTAACATGAATCCTGTGTGGTAAGTGAAGTAAGCTAGTAACGAAAGATTAAATACTGTGTGATTTTGCGTGCATGGTACACACACGCCTAGAGTGGCCAGATTCATGGAGACAGAAAGTGGAATGGGGCTTGCCGGGAGCTGGAGGAAGGGAGAGATGGACGGTTGTATGTAATGGGTATGGAGTGTGAGTCTTGCAAGGTAAAGAGTTCTGGGGGTGGATGGTGGCATGGTTCCCACTGATGTGGTTGGACTTACTGCCACAGAACCATACCCTTAAAAGTGGTTAAAAGGTAACGTTTATATCTTGCCACAATTAAGAAAGAAAACAATGTTGTTCAGTTGGAGTGTTTTTGGTTTTTTTAAAGCTGGAATTGGATTAGCACTGTGCCCAAGATGGAGTAACAAGGACCAAATGTATCCACTTGAGGAAATCGGTCCTCCAGGTAGAATAGACGCGGCAATGAAGGACAGAGATCCCTGCATGGTGGGAAGCGAAGGAGGTGAGCCTGAGGCCAGTCACTGCCCTGAGAGTCCATGCCTGGGCACAGGGAGGGCCACCCAGGGACAACCCGACCAAGTCCCCGAGCTGAGATGGAGCTGCAGCCAAGGACGGTTGGCATGGCAGGGAACCGTGGAGAGGCCCTGCCACTCCTTAGCTGCATGCTGGTCGTGGCCTGCGCGCCAGGCTGGCAGGACTGTACGGAAGGACAGAGGGACA